GGGAGATTGCTAAAACGGCCTCTTCTTCTATATCTTCTTTTGCTTCTTTTGACTCCTCCCTTTAGGGGTTACCACAATGGATCATTTGCCTCCATCTCTTCCTACCCTAGCAACCTCTTCTGTCAGACCAGCCTTCTGCATGTCCTCTTTCACTTCATCTATCCTTCTCTGTTATCTTCCTCTTTTCCTCCTGCCTGGCAGCTCCATCTCCAACATCCTTTGTCCAGTCTAGTCACTATTCCTCCTCTGCACATGTCCAAACCTCAGCCACCAGCCTTGCCCCTCTAACTTTGTCTCTAAACTGCTCAACCTGAGCTGTCCCTCTGCTATACTCATTAATAATCTTGTCCATTCTGGTCACTCTGAACAAAACTCCTAGCCTCTTCACCTCTGCCACCTCCAGCTCCACCTCCTGTCTTTTTGTCAGTACTATAGTTTCCAAACCATACATCATAGCGGGTCTCACTATCATCTTGTGATGTCACACATCACTCCTGAAGCTCGTCTCATACTACAATACATACTGTCTTTACCCAGCTTCTACAACTCCCTATAAGCTTTTTCCTCTGCCTTTGCAACCTCTCTGTCTGCTGTATGCTTTGCTTCCCAGTGCTCCTTCTATTTACCTAGAAAACAGAAGCTTTTTTTCTTCTTCTCGTGTTTGCTAGTGCGCACAAAGATTGGACACTGAAGCACCGGCTAAAGGTCATGTGGTCTGAGTCTAGATTTCAATTATTCCACAGTGGTGCAGAAAAGAGGCACATCAGTCATCCACGTCATCGTAGTTTGAGGATCTTGGAAAGAAAAGCATCTGGACTTCTTTAATTCGGATGGTAATGTGGGGCTAGGCTTCACAGTGGGTTCACCTGAAACCTTGGCTGATTGTGACCCACACCCGTTTTCACACCTTGGCTCGCGTGAATAGGTAGAGGATCCATAGGGGGTCCATTACTCTCTTGGGGACACCCGCATAGGGCTTAAAATCTGTGACTCTCCACCAAATGCTCTTAGAATTGATGAAGCTTCTCGGATAAGAGGTGAAACGTCTTCAAGGAAGCTTAAAGAAGTCCAGACGCTTTTCTTTCCAAGCTCCTTAGACCACATGAAGCGATGCACCCATCGTGTCTAGTACTGTCTGTACAAACATATCTGATCTGCTCAATATTCAGTTGGAACACAACAAGATTCAGCAATGTTGTGTCCCCAAAACTGTGGTCAGCTGACTACCCGAATGTACGTAATGAGCTGGAATTGACATGGAAATATTCCAGGATTCAGTGAAAGCGTGTTGAGTTTGAGAAATCATCTTGACGCTCGCCGCAAACCTCAACTTCAATCAGCGTCTGTGGGA